ATAAAAGACATTTTTTGGGCTTAAATTTGGACAAAATGGGAAAGGTGAAGTTGGGATAATTTTGTCAGGCCAAAATGGGCGGACAAATTTAACCTACCACATCATTTTACATACGCGGGACCCACATGCCACACAAGTGACACATCAGAAAAATCTAATCCCCATCCAATCTAGTAAACAAATGATAAGGCTGGTTAACCAACCTTATCATATCCTATCAATGCTAGTAAACGAGGCCTAATGGAATTAAAAGGATGGCAAAATTCATGTACATATGTTCAGATGACCTCTTTAAGATTTTGACATAATAAAATGAATTACACCTACAAAAAAGAAACAAAATTCAACAAAAATAGTATGTTTTAGTCACCTCCAATCAAACTAAAATCAATATGAATGTTCTCTTCAATTTTCACAATTAAAAACATGAGTTTGATCTATTTGAAATCCTTTAACTCGCTCTATTTGTATGTTAGCATTTTTTAATATCAGTTCTGAAATATCTATATATTTTTTACCCAAAACTACAATCAAATTTAATGAACTCTATGTTGTCTTTTTTTTTTATTTAGTTTCATTTTTTTTTTTTCATATTCTTGGTTGATATTAGTAAAAGGAACATAAATACAAATATTTTTTTTTCGAAGTAAATGTTAATCATTATTTTTCTAGATATATTTGATTGGGATATACAGGTTCATCCCTAATACCCGTAGACGATACTTTTTTATTTTATTTCTTAAAAAATTATCCTTTTAGTTGAATAAATTACATTATTTATGACAACGATAACTTTATGTTTCTCTATCTCTCTCTTTCTCTCTCTCTCTCTCTCTCTCTCTCTCTATTTGTATTTAAACAAATTTATTAGGAAATAAATAAAAGTATGTAAAATTTGGTTATGTAAGTTTGCAACTTGTAATGAACCATATTAATGAATTCTTGTATCGAAATTTAGATATTTGAGAAATATTAACAATAAGAAGCATAGTTATTTTTATCAAGTGGTAAACCACTGTTACTTTTTTTTATATAAATAAAGTATATTAATTGTAACAAAGTCTGATCGTCTCTCATGGTCCTTCGGTTGATTGACTTTCTACTTGCCCTTGTCACATGACTCTTGACTTCCATGAGAGTGACCTTCATGGGATGCTAAAATTAACGGTTGTAGATTTTGGGATGAAGATTTTGTTGTGGATTGTTATGAGGATTATTTTAGAGCATTTGAGCGAAAAGCTTGAGAATGCCCTTAACAAAGGCGAGATTTTGGAAAATTTAGGTAACATTATGGAGGAAGAATTTCCGCTGTTGTTTTGGCTATTGGCGTTGGTTGAGGATGACAAGGTTGTTAAAGTATGTAAAAGGTTTAAGAAATTAATCTAAGAAGGTTTACCGACGGAGAAGATTTATAAAAACCCTTGATTGAGCCCTCTGTCTAGCTTAGTTGTTACCAAACTAATTAAATATGTACAAATTGGGATTATAAGTGAATGCATATATATATATATACAGTGGCGAAACCAGTCAGTCATCCTGGGGAGGGCCCAATTTGCCGCGGCGCACCACCCCCACTTCGGCCATTCCGCGGCGCACCACTCCCACTCCGGCATCGGAAGGGCGCTCAAAGGGCTTTTGTGGATGCTCTAAAAAATTTTCGCAGGATATAAAAGAATACTCTAGAGATTTTTCTAAAAATCAAACTAAGTCCGGAATTAAACTGGTATACTTAAACTGAATTATTTTAACTCGAAAAATACTCGAATTTATACTAATAAAAATCTCGGACTCAATTGTAATAATAATCAAGAATTATACCTCCTTTCGAATAGACTAAAAGCTGAAAAATTTGAGAAAACGAAGCCTCGAACGATCGAACTCGTCCTCGACAAATTTGCTTCTTTTTGATACTATTTAATGCAGAAATTCAAACTCCCATAATAAATGCTCGGAACTCCGAAAAATACGAAATTTGTCCGTATGAAATCGTGCTTGAATTGTCTACACACTCCAACTCGATTCTCGTTAAACCGAGGTCACACGCAACCTTACGGAACCCCGCAAAACGGCTTTTTATTCTTCTATTATGCGCACTCGACTTCGAGCTTCTCAAAATAAATGCTCGAAACTTCGAAACGTGAAATAAATTTTACGAACGAGTTCTACTGTTCTCGTGTTTTCAAGAAAGCACTCCCTCTAATTTTCAGCACGCCTAACGAGGGCCGACGGTTACCCGAAGTCTAGCCATGAAAATGACAATAAAATCACCGCCACTGCCATTTTTCTCTCAACTTCGGGCTACCCAAAATAAATGGTCGGGACCTCAAAATCATAAATCGATGCCACCAAGGAACTCTCCGCTTCCCGTACTTTAATAAAAGTATTTTTTGGTAATGATCGACTCGGTTTTTGAGTCCCGTCGGTACACCGCAAGTCGGCTAATTAACCAACACAAAATATAATAAAAATGAAAAAAATTATTAAATTCTACTGCTGTTATAGTTCTGCTTGTCCCAGAAACCAGGATCCCGTTTCGGGGAGACCCAATTTGCCTTTAAAAAAGAATCACGATAAAACCGTTGGCGCCCCTCCGGCCATGCATGTACCGCATGAAACCGGGGAGGGCCCAACATGCGCGCTCAAAGGAAAATCTTCCAGTTCCAGCAAAATCCTCCACCCCTAGTTCGAATTTTTTTTTTTTGGAGGGCCGGCGCCTCTCCGGGTGCCAACATAATTTCACCCCTGTATATATATGTGTGTGTATGTGTGTGTGTGTATTTTTGATACATTCAATGCAAAATTTATACATGAATGAAGTGAAAAGACAACGATTGTCATTTGTAATTAGGGGCCTAGGATCCTGACACGTGGCTCCATGCAAATTCTGACTTTTCATGATGAGACCAAATGGACAATTACTTTACTAGTTCATGTTTACATTAGGACGAGAGATCAACATTTGGCATCAAGTGATGGATCATTACTCAGACTGGATAAAGATCAACGTCGAACTCATGGACTCTAGCTTCTTACAAGGTACATTGGGCTTGAGCTGGTGCAGACGCAATAAAGATATGGGCGCTTCGGTCCGAACAATTAATAGGCTAACCAAAGAAAAACTAAGGTACAACGAGTTTGACATGACCTTTTAAACCCTGACTCGACTTGGCTCGTCGTGACAATAAAAGTTTTCATGTTTTTTTTTTCTTTAAATTACAATAACAAACTCGCTAAGACTTAAGCTCGATTTGTTAATTATTGATTAAGGAGTCGGACTAAATATGTGCGAGAGGCTCGACAAAAACTCGACTTCAAGCTTGAGTATCAAAAGATCGATCTCGAGATCATCTCGACTCGTTTTTACCTCTAATCTACTGTCAGTCACAACAGCGCATTGCGAGCAAGTCTAATTTAATTGACGAGCCAAGGGCTTGACTCATTATCGTGAAAACTCGATTTGGCTTAATCAATAAACTGAAAATCCTGAACGAATTGTTTTCAATCATAAATTTCCGTGCGCAGATAAGTCGTACTCCACCATTTCATCTGAAAACCATAAAAAAAATATATTGTTCGCAAACAGACTAGGCTTGAATTTTGACAAGGGAGCTCGATTATTTATTTGAGCTTGACTCGTTTAAATTTACAAACAAGCATAATAAAATTGTGTTAGCGAATAACTTTATTTAAATAACATTTGTTACCGCCCATCAACTTAAATTACTAGAAGGTCACAAGTCAACACGTTAGTCGTAAGCATCACTCTCCTCGTAACTACTTAATCCCACGAGTGTGTTTAACTTCTTAATGCTCAAATTTGGACGATTGGCAAATAATTTCCAAATGGCTGCGCTGACTTATATAATCTATGGGATCAAAATAAATAAATTTTTATGCTTGAATTTGTAATACCTATCTCATCTATTTAATAAAGGATGTGGAGGCCGTGTTGAATTTATAAAATCAATTTGTCAACAAAAATCCACCACGTTGGGCCGTCCGCCTAATAACACTCCTTCTAGCCCAAAATAGAACTTCCCTACCAATATTTTGTGCAATGACTAAGTTATTGAACAAAGCAAATAATTCACGAGCTTGATTCAACTCGAGCTCGAGTTCGAGTTCATTTAGTTAGTCTAAATAGTTAAAACGTACTCAACTCGTAAATTATTATTAGGCTTGAAAATATAGATTTTTACATAACTTTTAAACTTTTAACTTAGTTAGACTTTTTGAGATTCGAGTTCAACTTGTTAAAATTAATTAACCGCTTGTACTTAAACTCGTCTATCAGCTCACTTATTGAACTTAGTTTGACTCAATAAAACTTTTACCTTTAGCATCAAAAGATCGAGCTCGACTCAAGCTCGACTCAATATGTAGCAATATCATGGCTTAGTTCAACCATAAAACTTCTAGAACCCTCCTTAATCTATCATGGCTTAGTTCTACAATAAAGCTTCTAGAATCCTCCTTAATCCTTTGCACAAATATAGAAAGCCCGTCATTTTTATTTTCTATTAGTAAAAGATTAGGGTTTTGTTATCCTGAATTCCTGATACATCGCCATCCTTTCATTTCCACTTGCAGGTATGTTCTTGGCCTCCTTATCTTCTTCTACCTCTCAATTATCTCGATTTGGTTTAATCTGAGCTTTTCATTTTCAGATTTCTCGAGCTTCAGAGCAAGTTATGGCGGCCACGCAGCTGACTTCCGCTGCATCTTCAGTTTCTGCAAAAGGGTTCCCCTCGTTCGAAGGTCTCAGGGCTTCGAACCCAGTTAGGGTTTCGTGCTTTCAACCTCTGAAAAACAACGGGCTTTCTCTCAGGTCGTTCCGAGGGCTTGCAGTCAGGGCTGCTACGACTGTCGCCCCAAAGGTACAATTGTTTGTTGGCGATTAATTCGTGCTTCGTTCGAGCTTCATTGAATTATTTGTTAGATTTAAGTTCGGATTTCAATGCTAGGTTTTGATGTTTTTGCAACTGATGTTCTTGTTCTGTTTCTGTGTTGTAAGAGCTTGCTTTTAGTAGTGAATGATTTAAGGATGGCTTTTTCTATTTTCTTCAAGCGCTGTATAGATTATGTTCCTTGCTCCTGTTTTTATTTAGTTGAAATCCTTACTCTTTTACCTCGAATCTTGTGAGAACAAGGCTATTCTTCTAATCTTGTTCTTCTTTTTCTGTGTTTGAAGAGTTTACTTTTTATTGAATGATTGGAGGATGTTTATTTATCTCCCAAAATGTTGTGTAACTTCTGTTCTTGCTCTCGTTTCTATGCAATTGAATTTCTTACTCATTCGTCTCGAATAATGTGAGAACAATGCAACAACATGCAGTCTCCCTCCCAATTGAGGAGACCGAGAACCCTTACTGGTTTGCTGTTTTCCTCCATTGAACCAATACCTTAATAGTCATTCATTGATTGGCATTTGAGCTTTGCATTAAGTGCAAATTTGACATATATTGCTATAGGGCGCGTTGGGGTTTGGGTCCGTCCTCTGCACGCTTCATTAATTTGATGATGGCCGAGAGTCATTCTGATAACTTTCAGAGGGATAATTTTTTTATTAAATTGTTTGTTTTTACTGTTAATGGTTGATTTTCATGTGCTTGATTTGTATCTTGCCAATGAAATCGCAGTACACTTCTCTGAAGCCATTGGGTGATAGGGTTTTGGTGAAAATTAAAGCAGTAGAGGAAAAGACTTCCGGCGGCATCTTACTTCCAGCCATGGCACAGTCGAAACCTCAAGCTGGTGAGGTAGTTGCTATTGGCGAGGGTCGTTCAGTTGGCAAGAGCGAGGAGGAGATCAGTGTCAAGGTATCATACTAGAATTCCTCTTTTCTGATATTTTACTTTTTTAACTTTTATTGGGGTTAAATAGTTCAACTTACTGAGATGATACATTTTTATCTATAGAGCGGAGCCCAAGTGGTGTACTCAAAGTATGCTGGGACAGAGGTTGAATTTGACGGATCAAATCACCTCCTTTTGAATGCGGACGACATTGTCGGCATTCTTGAGACTGATGACGTGAAAGACATGAAACCTCTGAATGACAGAGTTCTAATAAAGGTTGGTTATGTGTAGAATATGGCCAAAAAGTTGGAGGTGAACCGAGCCATCAGTTTATTTGCTTAGAATACACTGTAAAGAAAATAGAAAAATCTTTTTTCCTTGTGGTTCTTTGTTGTAATGCTCGTCTTTTCAGGTTGCGGAGGCTGAAGAGAAAACGGCTGGTGGTTTGTTGTTGACAGAGGCAAGCAAGGAGAAGCCATCGATTGGCACTGTAAGTCCATTCCATACCTTCATAATTTATCAGGTCACTTTTATCGTGCCTGTGCGTGATATAGTTGGTTGAAATTAGAGAAATATGTTGGTAGACAGAATAATTTTCAACATGTTGAACTCTACAGATTGTTGCGGTTGGGCCCGGTCCGCTTGGCAAGGAGGGTAAACGAAAGCCTTTGACTTTGGCCCCAGGAAATACGGTTTTGTACTCTAAATATGCGGGCAACGATTTCAAGGGTCTGGATGGCTCTGATTACATAGCTTTACGTGAATCTGATGTGATTGCTATCCTTTCTTAGCTGTGTTTTGGGTATTTATGCCTTTTGTTGGCACCTTAAATTTTTTGATGGAAGTGTTGAAAAGCGAATGCTTTCAATTTAAACCGGATGTCTTTTCTGTAGCCTCGAGTGAAAACTTTTTTTGATATTTGTGGTAATTTGTTCAAGTACTGATGGGAATGGGCATTTATATGGACTTTGTTCACCTCTTACCATTTGATGGTAAGGATGTTGACAGTGGGAAGATTTTGTGTTGAGAATGTTTTTCATATAAGCAGGCCCTTATCGAATCGACACATGGATGTTGACTGTCTAGGTCTAGTGCTCACCCATGTTTTCTCTTGCACCTCAATGCCAGCCTTCTCCCTTTTACTGATCTCAATTATAGAATTATCATCATCTCTGAAGGCCTCATGTACAATAGATGGTGAATTAGGTGCAACTTGAAATGAATTCTCAGAGAATGGAAAAATATCTTCGTAAAAACAAAACATCCTTACAGAGAAAAGCCTCATTTGTCTCTAGATTATAGACCCTAAAGCATAGCCTAAAAATGTACAGGCTGATGTTCTTTCATCAATTTTCTTCCTATGTGATACATTCCCCTTTGCATAGCACAATGCCACAAACAACCCTAGACTCTGAACATGTTATATGTTGGCTTTATCACATGGAGTAATTTATAAGGACTTCTCCATTGTAACAATGCATTTGGTAAAGTACTTATAATTTGTACTGCAGCTAGCAAACTATAAGGCAAAAAAATTTTCTTTGAAATTTGGCTTGAAAGCATAGTGATATGGCAACATGAAGATTAAACTAGTGCTTTTTCTAAACCACTCCATTTTGTTGTGACGTGTATGGGCAAGCCTTTTGGTGAAGTACCCCATTTTGCTTTAGCGATAGGTTCATTTCACCACTGACAAATTATGTCCCATTATTAAACCTAATGTATTCCACCCATTATCAGACCTTACATATTTCACCTTAACTCCAAACTGCACTTCAACCATCCTTAAGAAGAACGTGATGTGATCCATTATATTTGTCTTATACTTCATCAATAAAATCCAAGTTGCTTTTGTAAAATGATCATCTATTGTCAGCATATATGAGGTATTGCTTATGGATTCTCCACGGTGTGGCTCCCACACATCAACATGAATCAGCTGAAACTTCTCATTATTTTATATTTATTTTGTATGGTACTAAGGGGAAATGGTAATCTGCATTGTTTTGATTTATGACAAACATCACATACATCCAATTCTTGTTTATCACAATCTCCCTTCAAAAACTCCAAATGTTTCAAGCAACAGATAAAACTATGCCCCAATTTTTTATGCCATAGTTTCAGTTTTTTCTTCTCGATATCATTTTGTATAGAATTCACATATTGAGCTTCTTTTTCAAGTACATACAAGTTTCCAATTGTTTTGCCTGCTGAAAATGATCATGTTACTCCTAGAGTCTCTTGACAAGAACTCTTTACTATCAAAACTGAACCATAAACCACCGTCCTCAATCAGTTGTCCCATAAATAATAAATTGTACTTAAACTCAGGCACTAGAAGTACTTTCTCAGAGTAATTCGATCACTCAGTTGAACTTCTCCAGTCTTTCCCACCTTTACTTTAGATCCATCTTGCAGATTCATAATGGCAGGAGTTGAGATATTAGAACTCCTACTCACCATGCTAATATCAGATTAGATATGTTTGCTAGCCCCGATGTCAATAATCTATTTATCCCTTTCCAGCTGAAGCAGTGAGAAAGCATAATCTTCTCTACTTCCTGAGTGATCAACAAGTGTGAGAAGGTGTAAGTTTCTGCATTTTGTTGTCTTGAGATAATCTTAACAATCTTTTTATGAATAAGTGTACTTATGTGTGGCAAGGATTCACTATGCTCTAACTTAACTTCACCATCACTTTCGGATATTCTTCAATTTCCACCAAGTTAGTATTTTGATTCTGCCTTTGTTCTCTCAGTTTTTTGTACCAGTTAGGATAACCGTTTAAGTTGAAGCACCCTTGGATTTCATGTCCATTGTATCCACAATTGTGCAAAAGAATTTGCCCTTTCCTCATTGGTTAGTCTTTAATTATCCCTTCCTTTTTCTCTTGTATTATATTCTTGTCCAGAAAATCCACTTCTATCATTACCACCACCAAAACTTGAGGTTCTTTCACCTCCTCTTCCAAAATTTCCTTCCACTATCATTGCTGAAGTTTCCAAAGAATATGATGCACCTATAGCCAAGTTCTTTTGCCTTTCTTCTTTCAAAATCATAGAACTACACATTATTAATCATTGCCAAAGGATCCATAAGCAAAATCTGAGTCTTAACTGGTTCAAATAGCTCATTAAGACCTATGAGAAACTGCATCAATTTGATTGCCATATCATTTTTCTAAAATGCCTTTCCAAATCCACAAACAAAATTAAGGCAACGTGATATACATGAATATTCATCCCAAAAACACTTGAGTTTAGTGTAATATGTAGTCACAGTGAGGGAACCTTGCGCAAAATTAGCAATCTCCTATTGTAGTTGATATCTAAGAGGTCCATTACTCTCTCCATATCTCTCGGATAACTCATTCCATAGTTGTTTGACACTTTTCACATAAATGAATGCCTCCACAATTTCCTTTGAAACAAAATTAAGCAGCCACGAAATGACCATGAATTCTACCTTTTGGTATTGATCGAACTCTTCTCTATTTTTCTGAGGTACCTCCACGGATCCATGGATAAATTCGAGCTTCAAATTAGCTCCTTGGGCTAGCCTCACTACTCGACTCAAGTGTAGATAATTCGCACTGGTGAGTTCATTAGTGATAAGCACCATCGTCTCAGGATAACCAGATCTATGAAACGACAATGGATCTGCCTCGCGTGAGTAGTCGCGACCTATGATCTCTTTACCTTGTTCTTCCTTGCCCCGATTTGTGCGCGCGATAATCTCTTATATGGTCTGCTCTGGTACCATGTAGATTCAAGTAATTTCTGCCATTATTGAAGATAAAGCTCTGAAAAATATCTTAAAGTCACATTGTTTCATTGAGAATGAAGAAGACGAAGTTCGTACATTATATCCATATTAACTCCTACCTAATAATTGCATGCAGCAATAACTGAGTGGCACATGCCCACAATTAACTAACTAAAAAAAACCAAAAACGCAACACGCCTTAGTAAGTAAAAAGTGTGACTTACGACTTATGAAATACAAGAAAAAAATAAAAGTACATAATAAGAAATAAGACATTTTCTTCTGCTCCATCATCAACTACGTCAAAATGCATCTGAGCCTGCATGCTTGAGGATAAATCACCAAGCTGGATGATGAGCATCTCAACAGTTTGTGGTGGAAGAGATTTTCGTTGACCTAGAAATTGAAGAGCGTCATCGAGAAATCGAATGAGAAAGAACTTCAGCCAGTTCACCAAAGGATAACAAATAGTGGACGCCACGTACTTTATGGCGGTGGTATGATGCGATGGTGGGGGCGGTGTTGTGAAGATGAAAATAGATTGGTAATGTGGAACCGATAATTATATCTTACTTCGTTCTTTAGATATCTAAATTGCGTCGTTTTTAAAAACTTGGACATGTGTTATTTATTGAGGCTATTGCTTCATTTTTATAGATATGAGTATAGAAAAAGGGAAATTTTTGTCTCTCCTATAAGATATAGAAGTATTTTCAATTTTACCTTAATATAAAAGTATTTTCAACAATACCTAAACCAACTATTTTATTTAAGAGATTGCATCTAAATCAGTTATCTTGTAACGTGCGTGAAATCCGCGATAAAAAAAATAATAATTACTGATTCATTTATCACTTCCTTGATTCACGCAACTTGTACATTGTAGTTCAAACAGCCGCGACGTAGTATATTTTGAGTTTATGTTAGTATATATTCAGTGTATGTTGCAATAGTATAATTCGCGCAGCCGCCAGGTGGTATATTTTGAGTTTATGGTAGTACATATTCAGTATATGTGCAATAAAAAACAAGTCTTCCATAAAAAAAATTATATCTTTTTTTTTTTTTTTTACTTTTATACATAAAAGTATATAGAAACACCAAAAATTCATAAATTTTGGGGGGGAATTATTACCTGACATACACAAAAATTATACTTCAAAATATACTAAAAATGTGTAACAGGTGCAGAAAGCCAGTGACAAAAGTGTATAGCATAGAAAGAAAAAAGATACTTCGGATAGAGAGAAAAGTTACCTCGGATATACCCACCAGATAACCCGAGAAAAAGTTACTTCGGATATACTCGGATATACCCAACATATAACACAAAGAAAAAAAGGGATTATTAAACAGATAACCAGAGAAAAGTTACTTCGGATATACTCGAATATACCCAACATATACCCAACTCGGTTTGTAAATATACCTTCGAATTATAATCAAATCATACAAGAAAAAAAAATAAAGAAAAAAAGGGGCAAATACTAGGGAACACGAGACGGATTCTTCTTGTCATCCACTCAAGCAGGACGGTAAACTCGCCGGTGCTGCACGAACTAAGAATCGCCGGAGGAGGGTCGTGTCGGGGTGGCTGTTCGCGGACGGAGGGTGATCGAAATTCGGTCATGGGCCTGGTATCTCTTGAATAGAGGCGACGATAGTGACTGAGGAACCGCCGCGAAGCTTCGTGGATGTGCTGCAAACTTGGTGATGGTGAGATTGAGAGACTGATGATTGTTGCTGGTGCGCGATGCGGGAGAGAAAAAAGAACGAGGAGAAAGTTTACGTTTTAGGGTCTGCGGGGAATCTGATGATATCAATATTTGTTGCGTGGAATTAGGATGTTGCTGAGGGGTTTTAATCCCAATTAAATACATGTAACTAGATTAATAACGTTTTTAGGTATAATTGAAAATCTTTTATGTGGTTTAGGTGATTTTAAAAAAGAAAATAAAGAGGGTGCAAAAGTGTTAAATATTTTAAGCATAACAGTAGGTCATGCAATTTCCTCTATAGAAAA